TTTACGACCTGGCCTATGCAACTGTTACGTGAAAATGGCGGCTCGGAATGATAGTAGCCATGTTTGTTTGTTGTACTTTATGCGGACGATATTCTCGGTTTGGCTACTAAATAGGAATATTTGGTGTGTTGTGTGTCTCGCCTTGTTAATGTAATGCTTGACTGCGAGATACAAAGTTTAGGTTGGGGAAATTCGGTTGTGTTTTATCTAACCAACTCTGATACGTATTATAAATCTTACCGGATCTTTGAGAAAAAAATATAACACTCTTTATAAACGGATGAAAGAATGGCGAGCTTGTATCTGTCTTGAGAACAAGATGACGAAATAACCACAAATATTTTTGAACAATGATAAATTTTAAACATAAACTTGTGGTATACGCAACATAAATAACAACCGATTGTAGAACAAGCTTTATGATGTCGGCGGTCACTGTTTAAAACAACGTGTTCTCTGTGGTCTTGACATTACAAGTATAGAGGACAAAAACTCTGGCCATCAATACACGCGTACTACAAAATGGGACGACAAACAACCGACGCTGTTGTGTCGAATACAGCCAACATATGGACGGGATATTTTTAAACTGTATAGAGACATTAAGATAAAGTTTACTGCATTCGAATGTTCCATCTCTAGTCACTCGGATATTTCGGTTTATTGTTTGAAACGGGACAAAGGTTTTTTAGTGCGCTTTTAGGAGCGTGCTGCACTCTCGAATAATATAATATTTATGAGTTTTTCGTCGCATTTGAATTTAGAACGATATAGTTTTTTTTGCTGTCACTGTTTTTGTCAGGCAGTCTCTATCTTTGAGGTTACGTTCTGAAGAAAATTAAGATCTTTTTGTTGGGCGTCTATCTACATAATTATTTAAGCAGTTCTCGAAGTACCAGTGAATGAATGACTTCGTTGAAAATAGCTCTTTTGTTGTAACGGTCTTCAATGGATTCTGTTTAAATTGAGAAACATCTCGAATCAAATTGAACCAACAACCAAATATATCAATGAAATCTCTTGAAAAATAAATAATAATTTGAACTAAAATAAGATCACCCACGCAGTGGTAGGACCAGTCTATTAAGATCCTTTGCTTGGTAATGCGTGAGGCAGTATTAGGGTATATCCTTGGATCAATTTATGAGATCAAGGATTTTTTGTATCTTTATCGCGCCACCAGCGCTGGCGGCCCTCAATGTGTGTCGTCGTTATGATATTGACACTTAAGTGCCGTGTCCCACGGGATGAATCCATGATTTTATGGTGGCCCACGTTACTTATCACGTTTTATGGGGTCTTGGCCGGATATGGCGAGGCGTTAAATCATTTACTTTCCATATATCCAGATTATCTGGATGAGATTATTTTAGTATTACCTTTTTTCATGCAAAATCTTGTTTATTATATTGGGGCTCAAAAAATTTCTTACAGTATTCTCATATATTAAGTGTAATACAGGACTGTCTATAAAATATAATACCACTTAAATTTTACACTACATCGTAAATCTTTACTATCCAACTGTGAGCTATCGACAAAAATGTAACAGAATTTATCCCACAGTTCGGTCGACAGCTTGCAGGTCAACATAAATATGTATTAGGCTAAAATCAGCTACATTGTTAGGACGAAAATTGTGCTAAACAAACCTAACGCGATGGTTCCAAACGTTATAGAGTATTTTGGCCGGTTTATAAATTGATAATGCGGCTTTGGACCGCATCCGATGATTAATTGACCCGATTTGACCCAACAATTACTTCAATTATTTACCTCCGGTACAATTGTGCAGTTCGATAGTTTCGACTTTAATTTTAATTATTTATTGGTATCTTCTTCCTAATTGTAATTAAGGCCCTGTTTTGTTCTCTCATGTTCTCGACTGGGACTCGTTTGTTTTCGATGGTAATTGCATTAATTGGCAAGACTCTAGAAAGGATGTTCGTTAATGAGCGTAATTGGAAATATGGTTCGTCTAAAATGATTTTTAAGAGAGTGTCGATTACCTCTGAGTATTTGGTTTCTGCAAAAGTATTTAGGTTTACTTCACAACCTTAATTCTGACTATTGATAATAATAAGATTATTTTACATATTTATTTAAGAGGAGGAATTATGCAGCGTTTCTGTCGAAAAATTTTGTTAACATGTTCTTAGGAAAAAAGTCTGCAACTGCTACAACACTAACCCGTCTCTTTATCACCTTCATGCCCGACATTAATACCTTAAAAGCGTAGAAAGACAAAGACAACTTTGTTTATAATATTAGGAAGACTATCACAACAGCCTACGCAACTGATCAGTAGGTAATGTACACATAATTGAGTTGGTTACAATCCCTCATATATCTACAGGTGCACTAACATAGTAGGTACTATATGCTTTGTCATTAGCAGTGTTCAACTAATGAACGCAATTATCTGGAAATGGAAAGTGCTTTCAATTTGTTATCAAAATTAATAAGTCCTCATTATATTCCAGCCAATCACTTGAGAAGGGAATTAAGAGACTTTGTGGTTCGATGTTTGTAGTGAGTTTGAGATTGACGCTGATTGGTTCATACTTGAATTGGAGGGAAAATTGACAAGAATATGGTATTGTTTGTTATTCATCGATGGGGTATCAGAGGTGGATTAATGGTAACGTGGTGGCCCGGAGTGCGGCTTCGAAACTTACCAATGGCGAGTACCAATGTGACTTTTCCCGAGTTATATGTACTTTCTAAGATTATTTAGTCACCACTGACTAACGGTGACAGGGAAACATCGTGAGGAAACCAGGGCTTATAATTTCTAATTATAAGTTTGAAATCGCCAACCTGCATTGAGCATACGTGGTGATTAATACTCAAACCTTCTCCGTCTGCCTTTGGTCAGCAGTGGCCACTTATATGCTGTTAGTAATGATTATATTCGTTTTACTGTAGTAGCCGGTTGACGAATTTTTAGATTTTTGAAAATATCGAATACGTTTATTCTTAGCAAGGATTCGATATCAAAGTCTTGTCTAAAACAATCACATTAAAAAACATTGGATCGAAAAATCAGTCGTACAAAATGTTTAAACGAAATGTTTACTTATCTCTCACTTTCACAATAGCTGGAAGTTGCGCGCGCATTTTCAGCTGTTGCCCTTTTTCTTTCAGTTCAAGTTCATAATCGTCACGGTTCTGAATCTGAAAAGGTATGACAGATGCTATCATTCATTTTTCCAAGTGATGTGATAAATGTATGTTGTATTATATTCATTTGGCAAACACATTTTTGTTTCGATAATACCTCTACAGTACATTGATTCTTTAACAGTGTGTATTGTAATCATTTGTATCAGTGTTAATTCGGATGAATTTGGAGGTAATTAATTTCTAGGATTTCATTAAGAGTGAAGTGATACCTATATATTTTTGGCACTTTCATCATTCTATAGTAATGATATTCTTCAAGTATTGCAAGCGTACATTGGCCACGGTAACCGCTTACCATCAGGTGGGCCGTGTGCATTTGCCACCATCGTAGTAAAAAAAGAACATTGAATTTCATTCAATCTAACTTAGTATAAGACCTAAACCATTTCTAGGACTTAAGGACTTTTTATCACAAATTACAAATTGAAACAAGTTTAACTTCCAATTAATTATTAACGTGAAGTCCCTAAAACCCTGAGTTAAACTCAACACCAAGCTCTACGAAATACGCACATAAAACACGCTTTATCCGGAAGACATCAAATAACCCCCTTCTGCGAAGACAACTCAATCAAATCTCTTAGATTATTTGCTCTTGTAAAACAAACAAAATGACACGGAGTGTATCCTAACAACTTGACCCCGTTTCTCCCTAAATGTACCTTCATACAGTCGATCAATACAGGAACGTAAATAAATCACTAAGTTCGAGTTCGCGATACGCCAGTTTGATGGTTACAGACAGATTCAGTAGGCCAACTTTGGATTACTCCCTCGAGTGCCATTCTGTAGAATTGGTACCGGTATTATTTGCGCACAGAAATGAAGGATTTTTCATCATTCATTGCCAATATGACGAAGTGAACAGTTGGTTGGGACGTGGGTTTGTTTCTCTTAAAATGAAACACTAAAGTATTTTTTTGAAGACAGTAAAGCAAATTTTATTTTTACGTGACTATTAAAATCGTATGTACCATACTTAAAGCTATCTATCACAAAATATCGTTATTAAACTGTGTGTGTAAAAAATCAGCCTGAAACCGGGATTACTTCATATACTATACAATGAACGTACTATGAAATTTATCAGCTGTTTCAGCAATTTATCATGGCTAACAAATAATATTAGTTGAATGACAGCGCCGGTTACCGCGGCCGCGGCGGTTTTACGGTGTTAGTGGGTGCCGTATTGTATGCATATGCATGGGTATTTGCGCTGTTGGCGCATCATGTATTGATGAATTAAATGCTTATAGCCTACACAGCTGTACGTTTTATGTTAAAACTGTTTTCGGTATAAATTTTATTACATAATATTTAGTAATATATTTGGATTGTTTGGTATACTGTCGATAGCTTGAACATAATAATGTTTAAGTTCTGTAATATTAGTGAGGACATTTATACTTGATTTGTTTCAAATTCCAATTTATCACTGTATTTTAAATTACCCGATACATTATTAAGAGTCATCATTATAAAAATAGCTGTCACAAAATTCTATATCTACCATCATACAGCCAACAATATCCCATTTCTTACTTAACCTAACTTTACATTAAAGCAAAAAGTTCAGAACTCAAGCCATTGACAATATCCAAACTACATAGAACATTGAACTACTACCTCCATGAGCCGTGCAAACATCTTTACTCCACTTTGATGTGAAATCACCACAAAGGTAAACAAGTAGCTCTAATTAGCGGTACATGAACGTTTCTCATCGATTTTCAGTTAGCACAGACTAATCCACTAATTTAGTGACTCCTACTATTAATTTTCGAGTCTATTGATTCGTTCGTCTAATTGCGTAAATGATCTTGCGGTGCGGTAAGCTCACATTAAGTCGTATGGAACTCGTTACTTGTGACAACAAAAGACTTTGTTAATTAAGATGTTTTGATGAGTTCTGTATAGGTGTATAGGTGAGTCAATCACGAACATTGTTCTGATATTAATTTGTAACAATCACTCGTTTTTGTGGGATGATTCATTATTATTAAAATAATAACTGAAATGAGCTTCTTTTCTGAATAACACTGTTGAATTTACACGTGGAGCCCGGAAAATAGCAAGTTGGCGTGATTTTTAAATCTCGTCACAAATCCAGTGTCCAACGACATAGTGAATGTCCCGTGGAGTACTGGAGGCCAATCCTGGTCCCTCGAGTGGCATGCCGTCACTCTGCGTGGCCCGTTCGACGCCATATGTGACCACGCCAGCAAAAAACATCCGAACTCCATAATCGTTAAATATAAATTCCAACTCTAATGCCACCCATATAAAGTTCAGAGTTCATTGGAGTTCTGACATGAGGGTGGGTATGGGGTGAAATCCCAAAGGCGACGTACGGCACAGTGCTCATCATTTCCCCATTGTCTCGTTAGACAAAAATCAAAAACAAACACTCGCTGTAGGGATTTTCGGATCTAAGTTTCGGATGACTCCCAATCATCGTGTGTAGAGCTGCGATTGTACGTTTGGGATTTAGAGGTCTATAAGCTGTCAGCGTTCAATTTTATGGGATTAAAACAACTGCCCCGAGCTTAATACACTCATTATAGCCACATCTATAGGATTACAAAAAAAACTGAAATCTATCATTCAACGACCTCTGTGCATTACATGATTTTTTGATAAATCGGATCAGTTACATTTGTCATAAAAATACGCAATAAAGAAACATTTTAATCATCTGGAAAAGGCCCACAGTGTAATTTTCCCCTACTCATGTCAATAAAGACGAGCCTAAGAATGAGTAAAGGATTTAAATTTCCATGTCACGGCTAATTACTACGAAATGGAATAACCAATCTATCCAAGTTCGGGCATGCGTGCTAATTATGGCAAATTCGTCCTTTGACCGTTTATAGTGACCGTCATTTGAAGGCAATGTTTAGCCGTGAACACTCATGGTGATATGACATGGAACTAACAGTTGTAATAACTCACTGCTTCGTTTCCTTAACGTTACAAACTTAAGATTTGGGCTCGGTTTTTAGTTGTTGTCTCTTGCACTAGTTAAAAGGAAATTTAGTAAGCAATACCATACCTAAAATCATAACACTGAATATTGATGATAAAACACTTACAATACCTGTGTATCACAGTATGATTTTTATTTTGTATCTGTTGTGAATCGAATGTGTTAGCACAATAAAAATCCATTCAAATATATTCTAGCCCGCTATAATTTATTAGACAAGCTGCTGTCGGGAGTTATGGAGTTTCGCACCAAATCCAATCACTAAATCAACTGAACACAGAATTTATTTTCAACGTGAATTTGTTATTCTTTCTTTTTCTTTTATTGTATGATAAATAATATTAGGCGCCATCGTGTCAGACATTTCAAAAGCTCTCTCTATTTATTCTGCTATTCATCGACTATATGCATTGAATTACTCAAGATTTTGCCATGTTTTGGATAAATGTAATTCTTTCCTTGAAGATTGCGCCTCCGTCGTCTCGCGTCTCCTACGTGACCACAATATCTAAGTCACGCTTGTCTCCAACCACTCTTTTATGTCTATCATTTATTCTTCCGATACGCAAACGTCAGCGTTTGACAAGTACAGTTCATGTCGAATAAATTGTCGGTAAAATTGTACGTGGAGTGAGTTACGACTGTGGACGGGCCCTTCGACTCCGCTGTTTTGCTCAGACTCGACAGATTTATCGTCCGCTTTGTTTTTAGAAATTTTCGCCTCCGTAAACGCTTTCCCTCCATATCGGAAACGTCTATTTCGATCTACATTTATTTACTTTGCGGAAAAGCTGTCATTAAGACCGGCCTGACAATTTTCTGTTCTCGACAAAGCCTTCAACGCTTGGAAACGTAAATAATACACCCCATATTGAAGATTATTTCTAATGCTCAAACTCGAGACGCAATAAACTAGCGCGATGATAATAAAAATGTTCAGCTTATCCCTCGTGTTCTCGTTGTAAATTTAAACAACGATGCGCAAGCGATTCTAAACCTTACCGCATTTTATTAATGTCACGATAGAACATTTTAATTTTAATAAAGCTGAACATCGGCACGCCCGACCTATTTGTCAACCTTCTTTACTTTTGCTGGCATGAAATCATACAGTCTCACTTTGCGTAACTACAACACTAAACGTGGAGAGTTCGGGAGTCGACAGAAAGCGTACTTTTTGATTAGAACGCTAAGACATAAATTCGCACGATAATCCACGTCCGCTCTCGTATGAAATATGAAATCCCCGAAGGACGCCGCGCTGGATTTAAGCTTTTCTCTTTAAAGTAATAAAGGTGTGTTTTATTTGAACTGCGACGGATTATATTTGGGATTTGGACGACGAAACACGTAGGCGAACCATCGCTCATGTGACAAATTTCTACGTTTGCCTTAACGCGGGCCACCGTGTTTAGAATATTATATCTGAGGAAGGGACTTTGGGAAGTCATATTGATTTACATAAAGAAAAAAGGATGTACAATTCTGGACAAATGAAATGAATCTTGAGTGACGTGGAAATGTACTGCGTGTGAATTGAAGTGATATTTTTTACGAGTAGAGGAGTTCTATTTTGGGACGAAGTTTGGTATCTGTTTTCGTCCACATATTTCTACCTGTTTCTGAAGTCTTTCCGACATTAATAAATTTAATAACTTAGATTGTCAGTTGAGCGCGTTTTCCTTATTAATATGACTACGCTTTATTGTGAAACAAACTTGGGAAAACCGTACTTAGTTAAAATACATATAATCGAATATACACATTAATACAATTCGAAACGAGTTGACTTATGCTTCGCAGTCGTGTTTGCTGTCATTTGTCAAAAATACAGTATTTAATAATTTCATTTCTCAATAAATCGCATGCAGTAGCAAAGTCTCAAGGGGTGTGTAATAACGATTGTCTATATGCCTTTTTTGCACCAATTGTACCAGTGTCCCCCCAGGGAGGAGATTTGTCAGTTCGTTTATGCGACTTTGTCGAATTCAAATCGTAGTTTTCTTTTCTGCTAGTAACGAACTAGCAACAATACGTGCGGAAAAAGGATTTTGCGTTTTATTCAATGTATTTTTTTGTCTGTATTTTGGGGGCAGCAAACGTGGTTCCGCGAGGTAAGCAACCCACCAATTGTATATTTATGAGTTCACTATTACGCTCTATAGAATTTTATTTGTAATATCTACCAATTTTGAATTGAATCTGCTGGGGATTAGTCGAACAAAGTTTGTAATTGCTAGTTTATGAACCATTGTTACGATTGAAATATGTTGTGTTGCAACACAATATTTTATTCTGTAAAAATATTTTATATATTCCCACTGCATAGTACGATGCGTTGGCAATTTGCCACTAATTGTGTAATATTTAAAGTCTGACACGGTTTAATATTGCTGCGTTGCTCTCAAATGATGTCAATAACCATATAGATCTATCAACAGCGGCTCTATTTGAAGTTAAATAGCCATTACATGTCACTGGGACTTAAGAAAAGCTATTTTTATAAGACTCTTCGCTCCACGTTGCATCAACGGTAGCATTAATTTCACGAGTACCGCTACCATCACTATTTTTGGTATCAGAGTGAGTCAACAGACATAGATTACTATATTAACAAAGCTGTTTTACATTTAAAACAATGTTCGTTTCATTAAAATTGACCGGTCAACGTTTATCACCGCGGACGTCCTGCGCCGACCTCTTATCACCGAAAGAGGAAACAGACAATATTTTTATTTATGTTAGTCCCCACTGCCCACTCGTGATGCTACTGAAGTCTAGAATATCCATGATATTGCCGCGCGAATTAGTTTCGCATCATTTTATCTGAAGGACGAACGTGATTTATACAGTGATTGTGCAAAAATAATGGATTTCACATCGAGTGCCAGTGATAGTCTGTTCTATTAATTTATGTGCAGTTCCATAAAACATAAATATTTTCAAGCAAAATATATCGCAGTGTCGTTACACTCTCATTTTGTGCGCGAACATAGAGCCTCATATTGTACTAATAATTTAAATTCCCGGTGTTAAACCTCAACAATAGACCAGATAAATTCATTAAATAACTAACCGTTAAACCAACATTAATTAATTAAGTACAAAGGTGTGTACAAAGGTGGATTCTTTACATTTTGATATTTACAGCAAAATTTAGCTCAATCGAATTCAATAAACCGAGTTGCATGCATTACCATTGTAAAGAATTGATTTACTCACAAAGCCAGTGCCGAATGTGATGCATAGGTAAATACTGTGATTGGTTTTAGTATTGAAAGTCATGGACGTAGCAGTAAATTGAGTCTCATCGAGGAAACACTTTTGTGCATCAATTCTCAATATTTTAATCATGATGCGATTTCAAATCATAAAATTAAAGTTCATGTAGTACAAACAATTCATTTAAAGAACCTACTTAATATTTCACAAACATGTCCAAAAAACAAAAATGCATAGTCATTACTATGCGACTCGTTTTCAATTAGCATTCCTTATCTAGTTCCACCACCACAGCGGGAAGGGGGGAGGACTTGGCAAAAATTCCACCTAACGAGCTCATTGTCTTTTATTTGGACCAAAGGGTTCCGTCGCAGGCCTTAATTAACGGCTTCAAGAATCCAAAATGATTTGACTAGATGCTTTCTATTACAACACTTTTTGAATATTAAACAACGTAACAATTTTGTACTTAGTGACAACTTTACAAAATGTGTTTTAATTTACATTAATTTATGTGTTATTTTTGAATGGTAGCAACGTGTAATGAAGTGATGAAATCGCTTAAATCACGCACTGCTGCACCACATGGCATGAAATAATGAACGTAATTAGTAATAATGGCCCCTAAGATTGCTCAACAGCGTTAACGAATAGTGTTGCCCATGGTGACCCAATTAATGAATTCATCGGTTGTTGATAAAGTATTTTCATAATAACCGTTGGAGTAATACTGCAAGCTATACAAAATGTTAATGTAATTAAAAGAAAATCGTGTCTATTTTACTGTGAAAGGTGTAAAGTAACCTACATCCATGGGTTCGCATCCATAATTTTGTAACACTTTATACGCCGTAATGTTCCAACAAGAACCCAATAAATCTACTGGATATTTTAAATAGTCCGCAGTTCTCACAGTCCAGCAACGCTTGATACAACTGGATTCAGTAACCCAAGTCCAGTAATGAGGCAGAGTCGAAACTAATTTTATTTTCTTCCATTCCTTTGAGTGGGACTCCCGGGATATTTGCGTTAAATTAAAAAGTTTCCTCTCTGCATCTCAAGAGTACTTCCTCCACGGCCCATTTATTTCTTTTCGATACTTTCTCTCTAATGATCTCATACGATTACTGTACGACTTGCCTTAACATAGAAAGAAAATATTAAACAACATTAATAAGGTTTGCATATAACCGAGCTGGTCTCTCTGCTTTGAAATTCACAACATGTATTTCTTCTTAATTTGATTTAGTTAAGTTAAACAATCTAGCTTGTACAATTTCTTTGTCTAAATGATTTCGTTTGTTATATAAACGAAGTTTGTTGGTTTATTCTTTATAATTAACGTATTTTTATACGACATTTATCCATACTTTTATAACTAATCAGATATGTTATTGCCATAAAATGTGGCAATAGTACTCTTATGACAATTATGTTCTCCCTTAATAGTAGATCATCTAATACTTTCATCTCGCCAGTTTACTTATTTTTATTCCCGACATTAAAATCATTCCGCGGAGGATTCTTATTGTACTCTTTGTCATGTTCGGAAGCCATATTATTCCTAATTATTTTTGTCCTTTCCTTCCGACTTCGTTATGCGGCTTCTTTTCCTTTTATTTATTGTCGATAGTATCTCCTTTATTTATGCGTACTGCAGTGTACCTACGTATGAACGTCTACTTCAAATATATTCTCTGGATCTTTCAAGTTTCTCTCTTATGTGTTATTGATATTCTTTTGTTTGAGTTCCGCTTTATAAGTCTTTTACATAATTCATTATGGTTTGTTCTGAGTGCTGCCTTCAGTAGTATTAACTGTCAACTAGACAAATAAGTATATTTTATTTATTGTGGCTCTGCTTATTGATTTTTTTGAATATGTTAACAGTTGTTACTTCTTACGCACTTGTGTGATAATGATTGTATGCAAAATCCGTATTTTGTTCAAAGTGCGAAAGCGAAACCAACTTTTCTTGAATGATAATTTAACGTTTTGCTGTTTTTCTTCCAGGCCTGGGCCGGCTGCACCCGTACGGCTCGGGCAGCGGCAGCGGTTCCAGCAGCGGAAGCGGGCGGCGGCGCGCGCGCAGCGGCCTCTCCGACTCGCCGACCGCTCCCGCTACGCCCACGTCGGCATCCGACAACGCGTCCGACGCAACCCTCACGGACTCGGAGTTGCCGCTTGCTAGGGATTCCACCTTGCTGCATAACGGTAGGTTTGGTATTTGTCTATGAAATCACTACGCACTGAACTTAGTGTTATTTATGTAGTGTTATTAAATTAAGGATAATATCATACATAAAACAAAAAGGATTATTTTGTTTTATGTGACAAAAAAATCGACAACTACTTTGAAAATTGACCAAATTAAGTCTTCTAGTCAAACATGTTAAAACTGTATCAGTTTCATCACAAGATACGATTTCAACGTGATTCTTCCTCTTAACTACTACTTGCCTAAAATAACCTACACTTTTCCTATTACACGTATAAATAGCCATCCTTACTTCTTCAATGGATGGCTGCCTCTTGATCTAGATTATTAATATCTTTGTCTTGAACAGTATCGTAAATAGCTTTCTTAATAACTCATTATGAAGAGTGTAATATGGCCGCTTGATAGACTTTTTGCTTGTGTGGGGCATCTCCACGTGTCGGAGTAATCTAATGCTCGAGTAACAGTTTAAGTTACATTTAATGTGTCGAAAGTAATTAGCGTTTGTTCTTCTGAGGGTAAAAGTTGTTACTTTATCTTTTACTCTTTGTTACTTCTACGTATGTACTTATTTCTTGAATGAAAATCGTATCTAGGATATCATTTTAAAACAAATGTATTATATGAATTTGAGGTGACTAGTTCTTACTATGAAATAAATACTTTTTATAAAAAAGATGCATAGAATTTTTTTAACTCTATTAATCAATTTACTCTTGCTCGGTGCCCAAAACCTTACATACATTAAAGACAAGGATTGATCGAGAGCAGCAAAGGCATCGGATAATCAATGTAATGCCAGAAATTCCAACAGATTTCTATCTACTAACGTTATTTATTAGAATTTAAACGGTAAAGCCGAAGGGCCACCGCTTCCCATGTTAAAGGCTGCGAGGATCCCGCGGTAAAAGTGTTTGCTAGAATGCAAAATGAAGCATGTGATTGCTACGGAATCGCATTATGCCAGTCCTGGATATCGACCCGTGTCACTGGAAAGGATATATTTATTTTGCAGGCTACAAGATGGACAGGGTACACAGGTTAGGAAAATATTTTAAACTTTGGCACCAAATGCCTACTCGTTGTAATTTCACATTATAACAGAATTTTATAAACCCTGGATTATGTTGGTCTACACATACATGTAAAATTTTTGTCATATTTAATTAAAATATTTTAGGCGAAATTTTGTTCATTTTTGATGTAAGACTTTTAATTTTTTCCCCGTTAATATCGCTTCCAGCGGTCCCCTAAATTCATTTAGCAAAGCACTGTGTCACAGAGGCCTCTCGCGACGGTTTCCTAATGGATTTTTATCGTGTCGTGCTCCATGAAAATTGAACAGGAAATCCTAGGGAGTTCCGGTTTTAATTTGCCAACCATTGGATTCTATAATCGTTCTAGATTTCATTGAAATGCAATTTAATTGGAATTCCCTCGGTGTGATTTGAATCGACTGCGTTTGTGGGTCGACGTTATTTGGTATTTTATTCAGAGCCACGTAAGTTCAGCGGATTATCTATTTAATTTGTTTTCAATATCCTATACTATCTACATTGTAATATCAAACATTTGCTTTCATTTTGGTCTAACAACAACATCTATCCCAAAAAATACTTCTACTTCTGGTCTGACATAATATACAAATTCTTACTGCCACACTAAGTAAACAATATAATAAAACACTTAAAAACTCTACCAATTGAATTTTACTAAAATCATTAGCATACTTAATTAACCCTCGGCTCATATTTACAGGATACTCAAACTGCGTCCCAACAATCTCTGGCTTACCTACCCTAACAAACTCTAACACAAATCGTCCAAACAGTTCAACATTTACATTTTCCCTCTTCCACGTTTAATGTTTACGTGTTGCTTCCAATAGCATTAGTTATAACTCGTAAATACAAATTACTAACGAACGTTTCCGATACCCACCGCGTGTTCCCAATGTTTCACTTTGTCCCTCAAAACTTTCCAGTTGAAAATTTTGCCCCAATATTTGTTTACATATAGTTTTTGGGGTCCCAATTTAATTTAAACTATCGCAGCTTTTATTTGTCGTTTAGTACAACATTTGTCGTTTCGCGGTTTGTGCGTGGACCTTTGTTTGTGGCGTTGAATTTATTCTGCTTGTGTTTTGCTTTCACCAAATTCCGGTATAATTTGTCCGTACGTAATGAATGTAACGTTTCATCTTTAATTTGGGTCGTCCTGTGTCACTCGAGTTCATTTCCACTCGTTAATTAAACTAAGTGATACGATCCTATTTAACGTTTTTCTGTCTTAGGCGTATGTACATTAACATAACTTATACGGTATAGTTTTAGTATAGTGGTTCCACTTGAATACCCATTGCCGATACATAAGGGTGATCACAGCCTATTCGAAGCCACGTAAACAAAATATTTGTCATCATATTTTTTCTCGTATATTAAATCTAACACACGTTTGTTAGTTTGATCTTTAATTTCATAACTAACACCAACGTAAAGCAGCAATTAACGGATTGATCCTGCACTCAAAAATGATGACGTATCACAAATCGTTTGGATTGCCGTCGTAAACAGGCGACGAGTCGTAAATGTGATCTCGCCCAGCGAATGTGTTAAACAATTTGATACGCGGTAACAATGACGTTTTTATGTCGCGATATTTCGGTAAACCTACCGAATGTCGCCTTTAATTGCCGCCATTAAGCGCATGCTTGTGACGAATCGCCGAGCGATAGATAGATCCCGGTTATTTTTTGAATCACAAACCGGTATTTATCTCCCTCACACTTAATCCAAACTACTGCACTAGAAAGAGACGCATATGCATAGTGTTTCAGTAACCGTGGGATAATCATAATGAAAGCCGGAAATTCGTTAACGAATATGGCAGCGCTTCGTTAAATTTTATGTGTGTTTGTTTAATGAATGAATGCCTTTTTAAATTTCCATATGGTGCCGTCCTGTTTTAATGATCGCGCCGAGTCGGACTTAACAAAACAAATGTGGAATGAGTGTTACGAAGGATCATTAATCTATTAGTGAATGTATAAGAATAGATGGAAAGAGTATGACGATATTAGCTGCAGCCTGGCATCGCTTCTCGCGCTTTTCACTATTTTACACCCCGAAATTGCGGAATTAATGTTTCCGTATTCATCCATCAAGGGGATACTGTGAAATTTCGTTCGCTCAAGACATCCCCTTAATCCTCAAGACGAATATCTCAAACTCACGGACGGAGCGGAATAATCGCGAGGTTGTGACGAGCTGAAAAAAATATATAATTCGTCACTTAATCCGAGCATCTCGAGGGGTTAGTCAAACAAATACCTAGTATTAGTTGTGACAAACGCAGGCTTCAGTTTTATGCGATCAAAAATATTAGACAGATCCTAACGTGTTCCCCTTTGAAGTTGAATAATGACACACTCATGGAGTAGATTTTCAGCCTTAAAAACATGAGAGAAAATGAGGCTACGCATGTATGTACTTGGTGGATATTTTAGGAGAACAATGATGATGACGCTTTACAATTTCGTTTAAGACCTCATTGTCCGTCTTGTCTTGATTTCCGATATCGGTGTCTTAAAAAAATAAACGATTAAAAGTATATCACAAAGGACTTTCATGCCAAAGGGACGACAGTAGAGTACATTTTCACAGTACATTGAGCGTAAAAATTCTCCCGAAAACGGTAGACGAAAGAAGAAATACTATAATGCGTAATGAACTGAAATCTTTTACTACGTTCGTGTGACCCGAGTACAAGTTTCGAGCGAGAAGCGTCGTCATACATATAAAAGCGGTCCTAAGTTAGGTCCCTGGGGCAACCCCACACATGAAAGGCAAAAAGAAAATCAATTCATTATGTTACGCTTATACGTTGTCATATCGTCATCTTACAAATAAATCCGCTTGTAATTTGTACCAAAAGCTTTATGCGACAAACCATGACACAAAGCTACAACCTTCTTAGTTTGGTCGAAAGCACAAAGGAGTTCAGTACCGAGTCGCCAGACCCGAAAAAGTACGAGTCCTTTGAGAGACCAATCCTTTAATACTAATTGAATCATAATTTAGGAGACTGGAAGTTTCTTTTTATGTAAATCTTTTTTGCCTCTGAAGGCTCAAAGGCTGGCAACGTAATAATCTTGAGTTTGAAAGGTTTAGAAAGCACTCGTGTATTTGGAATTGAAATAAACGTCTTTCATGTTTATTCTAAGAATATTGTTTATAGATTTATTGTTTTTTTATTTGCTTCATTTTGTAAGTGCAGTAGCTTCACATTTACATCATATAATTGTTTGTAGTTTGTTTTTGGAATCTGTTGCTAAAGTTACTAGAGGTGCGTGTGTTTACGAAGTGTATTTTTGAATGAAATACACTGATATTATTCAATTCTAAAATATCGTATATAATAATTATTTTGTAGTACATAAACAACGAAAAAATTAGTACATAAATGCAAGGCATGGCATCGAGCAAGTTATCAATAAACCAAACGCGACGAAACGATGACAATATTACTGAAATTTAAAACTGTTACAGGGTTAATAAAAGCAACTTTTCCCTCATCTTTACGTACTAACTCCATAACCCATCCAATGTCAGGGTAATATCAAAAGACAATTTACCGTAGCACAAGCGACAACGACGGCGGCGGGAGCGTCGATAAATCTCGAGGACAATTTCCGAAATTTTTCTATCAGAAAGATTTACACTCCAGTCATCTTGGCGAAAGAAAATCTCACCTACAATCCTATTATCGATCCCTATTCCAGTACAATTTGTGAGTTGCGCGGGCGAGCGCCAGCAATTTTCAAACTTAAATGAAAATATCGGTTGGGGCAGAAGACTGTAGGGAACGTTTTCCACGTCTTCAGCTTGTCGATAGTTCACATCCCGTCGAAGCCAGACATGATTCAGTCCGCAACATCCTTTGTATAAGCGAACTTTATGTCGAACAGTTTTAGCTGAATATGAATTTGACAGAATGT